GTGAACTAGAAAATTATCTTCCCAATGCAGGAGTTCCCTGCAGGGATATTGATTATAAGAACATAATGGAAATGCAATACTGAATTAATTAAAATGCAGTTCTTTATAATTGCCTTTATTGACATGCACAGCATAAATGACACGAACATTTACCCCAGAGACTTCATTTATATTATTTGTTGGGATTAAGCCAAAATCCACCCTTGCTTGCACAAGTACGTAAGTCAATATAAATATGTAAATAAATCTTTGTCACACTTCTGTCAAGTGAATAGTAGGGTAACGAACGACTCAATGTACTCTTAGAAAAATTTCTGAAATTCTCTTATTCATGTGCAACTGGCACGAAAAGTGAATAATAAGGATATGGAAATTGCACGCTTCACGCTACACACTGCCCGCTGCACTTCCATTCTACTCATCCATACATGTATGTACATACCAAGCCAGCGAAGTTTGCTGCACTTTCTTTAACACTTGTTTGTATTTGTGTTAAGCGTTCGCTTATCAGCAACCATTGCACAAGTTGAAGGTTGCAACCCTCCTCTGTTTGCGGTAGATCGTCTGAGTGAGGGGGCGCAAGCTACACATCACACTGTCCCAAGTGATGTTGTTTGGGGTGAAGCCTCAAATGTCATTTCGAATTTCGAATGCATGGCGTATTGAACGTGACATTGTGCCCTGTGGGTGAGTTTCACACTTTGCTATTGTGGTGCGGTTCCGGCTTCGGTTTCTGCGTTTCGTGACATTTTTTGTATTTCGAAAATGCAATTAAATTTATGTACATATATGTATTTGTGTGTGTACACATCCTTAAGCGAAAACTTATTTTATACATTCATGTTTAATAATGCATGTTGTTTGTATGTTTGCATGTATGTATGAATGTATCGTGCCAGCAATAAAACTTATATGAATTTCAAATATGTAAATATGCCAGGTTGCAAGGGGCGTCGTATAGTGCAAGTTAAACTCTGTGACATATTGCTTCGAAGTTCGGGGTTAGGTTCCAAAGCCTTCTAAGTGATAGGAAATTATCGCTAAAAATATTAAAAACAAATTATCAACATTTTGGGCGACATACATCTGCAAAGTTTATAGTAGTCATCTGACTGCATACTTTGAAAGTATTTTACTTAAATCAAAATGTGTAGTCTGAAATTCACTCATGTAACGTTTAAAATTTTCTTAACTTTACCGTCTGATAAAATCTCTTTAAATGAGCCGACATGCAAGTTTTGCGTGAAATAGTTTTCGAGCACGCAAGGCAAACTATGAGGAAAAAGTTATGCACATTTTTTGTGTATTAGGGTGGTCCAAAATAAGTAAAGTCGGAATGTTAATGCTCTTACCCCCTAGGATTGTTCTAGATGGAACAAATATAGCCCTATTTTTCCAAAAATATTTAGACGAAATCTGCCCATCCCTGGTTTAGACTTATAACTCAATATTTGTATAAGAAACGGTCAATTAACTTTTTACATAATTGACAAGAATTTCATTCAGCTAAAACTTATAGAGATTTTTGTTCAACTGTGCAAAGTGCTTTTATAATAATTTTTGTTTTGATTGCCTTTGTTGTGGGTTCGGAATCTTTACCTTTAGATTTTTGAAAAAAGGTTCATGTTTGCGACTTTTAACGTAATCTCATATACAAGTTGAGGCTAAGTTTGCAGGGGGGATATGTATTAGAAAAAACCGTTTACTCTCATTTTTGGGATGTTTAGTAATAATATTGTTACTAACATATCGATGGTGCTGTGCAATAACGCCACAATTCAAAATTCAAAAAATAAAACTGTTACTACTGTTAAGTGGCTCATGTCTCTAATACTTGTCTAATCTTTTATACTTACTTTAGCAATCCTTACCGATTACTTTAGTAAGGGATATAAATGGATTAGACACAAGAGCCACTTAACATTAGTAACATTTTTTATTTGTGGCAACCGCAACTAGTCCATATGGGCTATTCTTGGCAACTCCTAAAAGGAATTCGACGATTCATTCGCAGAAACTTGTGTCTGGCTATACCGTGCAAGAATTCGGAAATATCCAGCCCATTCTTTTTCTTTTTGCCGTGTGATTAAGATCATTTGTATTTTGTACTTATCCCTTTGATTTAATAAAGACTATTATAGATACATATCTATATATCTATGTATATAAATATATATAATAAGCGAAGAGAAGATCTGTACCCTTCTTCCGATTTTCAAAAAAGAGATGTCAAATTAATGCGTTTGGTCTGTAGATGTGCAAACTGGTTTAAATTTTTCGAAAAGAGTTGCCACCTGTTGAAAAATTTAATTCAATTTATTTAATAATCAATGCAATCAAATCCGCACCATTCGTTCTCTTTTCCAGAATAAGGGGTCAAACTAAAAGCCTTGGAGTGTAGATGTGCATTAAGATTTTACTTTTTTGAAAAAAGTTGCCACCTTTTTAAAAATTATATTCAAATTATTTAAAAAATAAATCAATTATTACAAACTGGGTATCAAGCGAAATGGGTTTAAAAATTTTTGCTTCTTAGCTGAACTAAAAGAGGGTTGCCACCTCTTTAAACAATCATATTAGGTAAGAGAAATATGTATGTATCACCATATGGGTGCCAAACGAAAGGGGTTTCAGAAAGTAGAAGTTTGAAAATATTTTGAAGAGGGTTGCCACCCGCTTGAAATGTCGAATTTAGTTTACTTACACACAAGGTATATGGGTATCAATCGAAGGGGGTTTACAAGATTTTTATTTCTGAACTGTATTTAGTGGAGTTGCCTCATGTTTGGAAATTAAAATTCCACTTAATTCAACAGTTAATTCAAAAATGTATCGCAGTGTCCGGCGAAAGAGGGTTAACAACGGTTAAGCTTGAAAATACTTTTGAAAAGGGCTGCCACCTGTTTGAAAGGTCTAACTCGCCTAACTAATTCAAAAAGTGTATGACATATAAAAATACCGTAGTCAAACGAAAGAATTTTAAGAAATCTTTAGTTTAAATATTTCGAATGTTTGAAGAGAGTAGCCACGTATTTAAAAGTTTGGTTTTTCTCATAGAGGTCGTCCCTCGGCAGGCAATGGCAAACCGCTGTGCGTATTTCTGCCTTAAAAAGTTTCTCATAAAACTATATGCCGTCCGAAGGCGGCGCAAAATTGTACGTCCCTCCATTTGTGTTATAACATCAGGACGGACACCACACTCGGCAATAGTGTTCGATTAGCTCGCGACAAAACCATGTCTCAGAAAAAGCGAATCACTTTCCTCCGAGTTCTTCAATCCAACTTTAAATAAAATATTCGTTTTCTATCCAAAACGCTACGACGCCATACGGTTATATAGCAAGAGCATAAGCTACTGTAATTACTTTTTCGAAAAGAGGTAGAGCTTTAACCGATACTAAATGTTCTACTGTCTAAGTACGGATTCATATTCATTAGGTCAGGCATTTTGTTCAGAAGCGAATTTGAGAACAAGGTTCTATCGTCAGATCCTGCTTTGATGCGGTACGTAATAAACTGCACCTGGTTGGCGCCATCAACTGCAGTAACACTCAGAGACGGTATCCAGATTTTCGTACTCGATCTTAGTATTTCCGAACTTAAAACCGGACTAAGATTGAAAATACTAAAATAGAGAACATAAATCTTATATTATATTTTGAGAACTTATCACATATCTAACATTCTAAGTCGAAGTATGAAAGGTTTTGATAACTAACTCAACCTTTTTCTTTATAATGTTTCTTAAAATAAAATACTCGTACTCATAATAAAGAAGCATCAAATTTTATTTGAGTACGAAATTCTTATTTCAAGAATGAAATATTTAAATTCCGTAAACTTTGGTTTGTTTTTATTTTTAGGCCGACATTTTTCCCTCAGTGTACGTTGCTTTTAACACCTTTCCGTGCCATTTATATGCCCGTTCACAAATGAGAGAGACTCCGTATTACACAAGTCGCCTACACCAGAAAATGCATTGAAATGCCAACAAAAAAAAGAAACGATTTCCTCAAATGTTATTTTGTTACGTTCCAAATGTACCTAAATTGGTGTGATTGTACCGAATGCACTTTAAAAGACACTTAAAAGCGTATAAAATTTTCCATCTCTGTTCACAATCTATCTGTGTGCTCAAGCAAATCAATGCAACAACCAGTATACGACTAGATATGAAGTATAGTGTAAAAGCATAATTGATCGACCTAGCCGCAAAAGTTCACACTAATTTGTTATGGGTTGCTGGGTATGGACGTCGTAAGTGAACTATAATATATAAAGTTGCAATAAAATTCAGAGATTCCACTGTATTTCGTATATGACAAAAGGCCTAAGAAACCCACAAGTTCGATAACAAGACACAAGAGATGAGATCGAAATTCCTGGCTTACTCTGATTTGATTATTCTTGCATGTGGGTAAGGCTTCTTCAAGTGGGCCCCGAATTTACCAAGATTAATATATTTCAATGATATTCAGGCAGCGCCGAGCTTTGTAGTCGTAAAGTATACTGTGTAAATTTTGTTGTAAAATTCCAAATAGTTTTTTTTTAATCAACAATTGAAAATTTGTGCAGTGTTTTGGAAATTTTAATGTTTCTTTGAAAGTAAGTGTCCGAATGAAAACATTTTTTTGGGTGCAGATTTAAAAAACATTAGACTATACAATGAAATTGTTTGCGTTACAAAAATAATTTTTTTTTTTGCTTTTCAATATTTTTTTATGAAAAATTGAACATTTAAGCAATTTCTGCGCCTCGTGGAGGAAAATTTTTAACATCAACTTATGTAATAAACATTTCTGCATTTATCTATGCAAAAAATGTGTGAATTTTGATAAAGTTTGTCCGGAATGAATTTTTATTTGCCAGCGTGCGCGCCTTACTCCCGCGGGCATGCGAAATTCGAGCGTGAAAAATAAAAGTGGAACGATTGAAACGTGCATTTCTTTCTTTTCATTCGGACACTTACTTTCAAAGAAAAATAAAAATTTCCAAAACACTGCAAAAATTTTCAATTGTTGATTAAAAAAAAACACTATTTGGACTTTTGAAACAAAATTTACACCGTGTACTTTTCGACTACGAAACTCGGCGTAGAACAATTTTTTCTTGCCTGGGGACCTTAACTTTGGAATGTCGCTCCTAAAGGATGTGACAAGATGAGAGGCCTAGGGTGTAAGCTCATTTACGCATTGAAGCGGGCTAAACTGGCTCAAGTGTGAAACTCTGACCGCTGGGAGAGTAACAATTACCGATACCCAAACAAAACAGTGAATAGATTATCTTATAATTAATTTCCTATGCCCACAAAATCGGCTTCGGACATTCAGCTGGAGAGCATAACCTTTCGCAATTAAATATAGTTCCTTCTCATTCGGTCACTGTAGCTTATGCAGCAAAAAAAAAGTTGTTATCAAAACAAAATCCGCAAATAACTAACATCCACACATTTTACATCAAATGTTTACGGAATCATGCAAAAAAAAGAAAAAAACGATGCTCCTAATAAAAATCACATTGCGCATGCGCTAGCACGGTCCATGCCATGTGCATTCTTATTATCACTTCTCTATATTGTATGTCAGCAATTGAAATATGTAATAACAAAACAACGCTTGCCGGCAACTTCAATTATCAAAACAATAACAGATGCACGTGGTAAACACGTTGCTTAGCACGCGACCGGCTTTTATTATCTCTCGAATGTATTTTAAATTTTCTCTCTTTTCTCTCGTATTCTCGAAAAATCTCTCACACGCTTTCGATGGTTAATTACGAAAATTCTCATTTCGATTGTTAACTGCGCAGGTCCTTCGAACATCCTGAGTCGGCAACTAAACAACCAGCTACTAGGATACGCTGAAGTTGCGGCCACATCCAGTCTAGAGTAAAATTTTCAAGAAATCGGAAGCAAAAATTCTCCTTAACATCAGCGTCTAAGTGAAAAAGCCATCTACTATAGAGCACAATCTAGATATACATACATATACATAAAATAGATATACATATATTCAAATTTAAAACGGGTTTTAAAGTATTTTAAGCAACAAATTTAATTCAAAAAATCTACCAAAACCTTTTAAAGGTTACATTTAATAAGTTTTTTATAAAAAATTGTGCACATAAATGAAATTTTCAAGCAGGAAAAGAATGGAAACCTATGACTAAGCAGTGACGACATCGACTTACACAATTTCTCTATACTATATAAAATTTTAAAAGAAGCAAATTGTTTGAAAAACCTTCTAAAAATTTAGATTTTGTACAAAATGGTCACGGAAAATGGAACACAGGTAATTTGTTTGCAAGTTTCTAATGTTTTTCTTATGATATTCACAAAATATGCAATGATAATGCAAAATATTTGCTGTTGAATAATGCGGCAGCCATATTGGCATCCATCTTTGATAATATCGATTTTTCACAGTTATATTGAAATATTGAACTTCTATCACTAAATTAAATACATTTTGCAATGAATTTGCAAAAAATATGAATTTCCATTTCGGAAATGCATTTTTGTTAGGGGAAAAATGCATTTTATGCAGACTTTTGCAACGAATTTGCATTGAGACCCACCCATATGAGGTGGCTGAAAATTTTCATCGATTTTCCTATTCCCTTTCGCAACGACAGCAGCGAAGGTAAACTACATACACACATACATACATACATACTTACTTCTGTATAAACGCAGTTATTTTCACGAACATATTTACCTACTATAAGCAAGTCGTTGGCTGAGTGTTGCAGTTGATAGTAGTTACATACTATGTATAATTGTATGAACATCGCCAAGTAATTAAAATGGTAATTTACATATATGATTCTAAATTTTGTATGCAAAACATTTGGACAACTGAGTTGTGGTAACTTTAAGGATACGAACAATTTTGTAATACATGCGTTTGTGTAATGTGTGCATTAATGAGATAATTTGGCTTTGGGCGCGGCTTTTGGTATGACTAGCACAGTGCGGTTGATGTGCGTGTTTCGAGTGGCGAACATATTCACTGTTCACTTTATTTTTAGACTAACCTAATTTCAAGATATGCATTGACAGTTCTCTGCACACAGATGAATAATGTGTGCACTCCTTCGACACAATGCCTACGTACATACATATATCTATATGTACTCGCACTTGTACAAAATGAGTCATGCGAAATTGATTTGAAAATAAATAAACGATGATTATTTTTTTTGAATATTCGTAATAATTTTCATGTTAAGTAATTTTTTTTAACTTGTTAACAAAACATGGCTCATATTTTAACGAATACCATATCAGTTCTAGAGTCAAAGAATCAATGAAATTTAGAAGAATACTGCAGATTTTCATAAAAATCTAAAATTTTTTAACAGAAATTAAAAAAATCGAGTATGTAGTATAATAACACAGTGCAACAACTATTGGGTGGTTCACAAGTGTCGTACTTGTCGTATTGTTGTATGTTGTAAAGTTTTTAACGGCTAAATAAATGTTTAGAGGACTTGAAATCACCACCAACTATTTTTTAATAGTGTGAAATTTCATAATAAAACTTTTATGTTAGCTTGCGAATTCCTTAAATATAGTTTTCGCCGTTTAAAGTTTATGACATACAACAGTACGACAGTATACAACACCTTGTGAACTCCCTATATATTTTTTGATTATTGAATTGTAGTTGTAAATCAAAGAAAAAAAAAATCACTAAAATAATTTTTTTTTTGGATTTTCATAAAAATTTAAGGTAGGCAATTTTATAGCCCATTAAATTTTAGAATAATAATGTGCAAGTTTCAAGTGGGTGCTTACGGTGCTAGGCATTTTCTTCCACATATATACATACATATGTGCGTAAAATGTGCTCGAAATTTCCACCTTATTATATTAGAATATATTATAAACCTGCAAACCTAAAATTTTTTCTCAAAATTAAAAATAAATATGTTGTGAAAGTTTTTTTTTTTATCTACAATTTCAAATCGATATAAACAAATCGTTAACCACTTTTACAAATCTTTTGGTATTCATTCATAGTTTAACCACCCTAAATGAATGGAATTGGTTTCATTACGATCACTGTTACACTTTTCATTTATTTATTTTTTTAAATTCGCGTTGATTTTCAATAATTTTTTTGAGACACACTTTTGGTTCCATGTCTTCTTGGAATTTAATTTTTTTATGTGGCAGAAAATGCATAACGCCGACAGCGGTGATTGCCGGCGACCCCTAGAAAATTTGCTGCTTAAAATTTTTGCGGAATATTTTAACTTGCCAATTGTCATCTTTTCAAAAGCGGTTCAAAAATATCCTGTTATAGGTGTTAGTAGGTTAAAATGTTCTATGAAAAAATGTTCCCTAAAATCTATTAAAGGCCTCCTAAGGCCAGAATTATTTTAGAGTCGTTTAAAACATAAAATTACATGATTTAAAATTGGATTTTTGATCAAAAAGTTGAAAGCTTGACCCACTGTAAACATTTTTCTAATGGGATGGAGCAAAATCCTTTTGAACTGTGACTACCGAAAATGAAAAAAACCTTGACCGTCCTTGGTTTCAAGGCGGCGGTAATGCTACAGCCCTCTGGACCCGCAAAAGAAATTTCACTATCTCTAGGACTAGCTTCAGAGGACTCGTACTCCAAAAAAAAATTTACAGTTTTTCGTAATATGACTATACTAATTAGAAAATGTACAGTGGTCGAAGTAATGATAGCCTCACCACATTTTGACAAGTTTTGAGATAAAAAATTAACTTTATTTTTATAAAAAAATAACTAAAATTAAATAAAAAAAAATAATAATAATAATATGTTAAAACTTGTCAAAACGTGGTGA